TCTTTCCCTCTGTGGGTGCAGGGTAGAGAAAGTGATGCCATTTTAACAGTGAAATTAAATGATATGGGACATTATGGGTGTTCTTCAGACTGCGCCGACAAGATTGCAGTGCCTTTATTTGCTGAGGCTACTGTACAACTTATCCGAAGAAGGTCAATGAGTTCATTGTTAGCTCACAGTAAGTATCAACATTTTCTTTCAGCAACTAGATGCATTTTTTCCCCTTAATGGTACAACCAAAATATGTGTCCGCAGAAGGATCAATAGCCAATGAACTCACCATCTTTTTATTCCATTGATGCAGCACTTGGATCAGCTATCTTAGTTGAGTTTCTTATGGTGTTTTCTCTAGGAGGGATTCTTCTGTTCTTTACATGCAAATGCGCAATGCATCTTGCTAATGAAAGAAGAAGAATTAATGTCAAGAATTCTCAGCTATCTAGTGTGCAGAATTCCCAGAAAAAAAGTGTGAGTGCCTTCTTATATCTTAGCAACGAAACGAAACGGGAACGGGAACTTCTGAATACTTCATTTGGAAGCTCAAGTTTCAACCTGACATTCTTGAATCATTCATGTACAGCAGAATGTAGATTTTTCGGAGGATACGACAAACTTCACATGCTGTTGTTCAAGCCCCTTCTTGCTTAGTGGCCAAACTTCCAACTTTCGACAACGGTAACTATCTAACCAATAAAGCAGGGTGATTTTTTTAGTTCATTTATTCCTCTTTTCCATTTTTTTTTTTCAGCTTCAATATCATCTAACAAGCTGTTGTGCCAATTTGCAGCTCCAATCGACAGTTAGGAGGCGAAGAAACTGGCAAGAACATAAGTAGCCCTCCTGGATCTTCTAGCAGTCATCATCTACAGACTCCACCTGGTCTTACCCCACTTGTTATTGAGAAGGAGGATCTAAAGGAAACCTTTTGATCAGTTCTATGAAATTAAACCAAGTAAATGGGGACGAGACATTGTACTATTGCAGCACTTAAGAAGCACATTATATGGTTTTCGACAGTTAGTGACAAGAAAAGCAGCATAAAAAACAAGTTGAACAGTCTATAAAAAGCCTGATGTGCCTTGGTAGCTTGCTTGGTGGCATAAATTGCACCAACTTGGGATGATTTTTTGAGGCCTATCTAGTCCTGTGGCTTAAGCAAGGGACTGTTCCTTCTATTACATGAACATCTGGAATCACTATTGATTTAGAAGAGACACCTTTCATGTTTGATATCCTTTTTCTTTACTTTGTTTTTTAAAAAATAAGAGCACTAATGTGACTTGTAGTTTAATTTGTTGATAGCATGCTCATGTATGTACAGAAACATGAGTGGAATATTAGTTCGCTAGATTTAGAGAAAACTATTGAATACGTGCATTATTGGCAATAATGTAATGTATTTGGAAGTAAGGCTACAACAAGAAAACAAATTGATGGATTATATTATTTGGATCATACAAACAAAAAATTGACTAAATTTTTGTATAGAATGTCTTTTTTTTTTTCTCTTATATGATGATGATGTAGGACAGATTAATGAATAAATTCCAGGCTAACTGAAATCCTACTTCTACAAGGAAATATAACACCAGAGCAAACAGCATATTCTTCCCTGTTACTCTTTTCTTTATTTCACATGGATTCCTTCTATTGAAGATTCCCTACAAACTAAATTTTTTTTTCTTGTTCGTGGACTCGAATAAAACATAGAAAAGGGACGGTGATTCTTCTCATTAATAGACTTCCGCTACGTCATATGAACAGTGCATCCTCTTACCTTAGCAACCAAAGTCTTCGTAAAATGATTGTTTCGTTCTTAAAATGGTTCAACGAGCCGTAGGAAGGAAGATATCTAATAAAAGAAAAATCAGAGATTTATGGAAATAGATCTAGTAATGTAGTGATGGAGTTAAATTTTTGAATTATTTCACTTCCATATTTATTTATCTTTTTCAAACGATTTTAAGAGCATATTTATCTACCTTCTTGACCTGGTGTGTTCAAATAAATGGACTTATGTGATGTTAGTGCAAGAAATGGTTGGAGGAAGGAAAAATGTTGGCTACAAGTCAGAAAATGGCGAAGAAACATACTTCCCAGAATGGATTTATAATCTTTTTGAAGAAGGACAAGACCAACGGTTCCATATCGAGGAGGAAGAAGAAGATGCTAAAATTACGAAGAAACTAGCAATGGCGGGGCTGTGGTGCATTCAATGGAACCCAGTGGACCGTCCTTCCGTGAAAATTGCTGTCCATATGCTGGGAGGGGAAGGAGACAGCTTAAGTAAACCTCCTAATCCTTTTAGCTCCACAGCTTCTAAGAAAAAGCCTGCAAGCCTGCCAGGAAGACGTCTTAACCAAGAGTTGGCAGCCATCTCAAAAACAGAGTAAACAGATGTTTCGGTTAGCTGTGTAGTAACAGATTGGGTAGGAATAAAGGAGTAAAGGTTGCGGTTTGTTTAGTAGTTTCCTGGACAACGTATGTGGCTTTGCATGAACGTGGATTGCCTTTTTTTTTTTTATCACATCATTGCATCATGATTATGTAGATTACCAGCGGTTGATAAAATGATTATACTTTTATAATTATTGATGGTTGGGCTCTGGCAGATTCAAAGTTTCTATCTTCAGCTGTAACCATCCCTTGGGGGGGTGGATGTTGGGGGGGTGGGTTCGTCGGGGGTCATAAACCATGGGAGTTCAAATTCACTCAGCATAGAGTTACCTGTGTAACCAAAAATTAATATCAAGTAAATAGTCTGCATAAAATAGCTCGGAAGATGCACAGGCGACTAGCAGAATTTCTAGCTTTGCAAATAAGTGATAAAGAAGCTTGGTTTCATCATAGTTTTCTGAAAAATTTGTGAATTTACACAAACAAATTAGTGATAAGGAAAGATGGAATCAAGGACTCCTAGACCAATGAAGAACATCTAGCATGAAGCATACGATTTCATAACAATAGCAGGCATTGCTTGAGACCAAAGAAAGCAGTTTTTCACTGGGTCAGAATCAGCAACATGAGACAAAAATTCTTCCAAATTATTGTCATATATACAGTTAATACTGAGCTATCTCATGTAAGACCTATCTATATGAATTAACAGAAGGGACGAGAAATTGACATTCAACGTTAAACATAGAAATAAAGAGGGGGGGAAGAAGGGAGAAGGAACAGTTGTAAAATATTTCCCAGGCTGTATGACAAAGAAGTCGTATCAGATTAGAAAATTGACTTCAAATCAAGACAGAGATTAACATCCATGACAATACAAATCACCCTCCCACATTCTACTTATATACCGAAGAATTATCTAAATTCATTTACTAATAACTTGAGAACATTATCAGCTAGCTTACAATGACAGGAAAATGAAAGTCTTGCTTTATTGCATCTTTACTTTCTTCAACCTGTACATCAACGACTCTATAGATTTCTGTATCCTGGGGCCATCTGTCTGCCCAATTACTTGAGATGCCTGGTGCAAACTCTGAACCCCACGACCCAAACTGGCGATAGAAGGGGCTGCAGGAAGAGATTCAACTGCACATTCAATCCCATCTCCATGCATGAGCAATGCCGAGCAAGTCACGATACTACAACCAAATGTTGCCCAAGGTAGGACACCAACAGGTTGTACCTGTCGTTTTCTCATTATTTCATAGAAAGCTGTTTTCATAGCTGAAAAACTGGTTTTCTCAGCAGAGGCTATAACACTGTGGACCACTGTCCGGATTTTCTCGGCAGAAGTGGCTGCCTTCAAGGCAGATGTTGCATTGGCTCCAGAATTGGCCAGTCCAGGGGCTAGCAGTTTTGTTGGACCAAGAGTCTTGCCCATAGATATTGCCGTTATCTTTTGGGTTTGGGTCAGCAGAAGTTTAAGGGAAGTAGGTAATTTAAATGTAACGACCTTCACGAATGTAGATGCTGGAACAACTTTAGAAAGCGATGAAGCTCCAAATACTGCTGTTGCCCCAGCTCCAACTGCCACCAAATATTTGTTAGAAAGTAGCCTTCTCTTTTCAGCATGATTTGGAACTTCTCCATCACTTTCACACACAGTGACAAGATGCCCAACCAAATCCTTCACCTCTGGAGGCACAGGAGTGTTCCAATGTTTCCTGATACCTCCTAAGCCACTAGCATCTACTACAGCTACTATAGTCTTGAACTTCCTAGTCTGGCTTTGAAGGGCCTGTGCAATGAGTGCATGTGACTTGTCCTGAACCTGAAGCTCTGAAAACTCAATCTTAGTCTTGTTGGGCTTCCCCAGTTCTTTAATGGGAAATCGACCGGCATTATTAAGAGCAATTCTCAGCCCCTCAACAGCAACTCGGAAGGTGTACACTTCGGATATAATTCGGGTATCCACAGCTTCCCCCCTGTTTACATCATATAGCATTTTCTGTGCAAAGGCTAAAGCCCTACCGATTGACGGGAGATCAATGAATATATTATGTAGATCTTGAAGTAATGGATACACAGATTGGGCAAATGGTGGCACCTGGAAACTGTTTCCTGGCTGAATTTCTTTTAATCCTGACTCTGAAACAGAACTTGAAGGACGCAACTTACGCATTGACAAATCCATATAAGAAGATGACAACTTCACCATCCGTGACTGAACATTATCATCAAGACTAAACCTCCTCGAACTTTGCAAAGAAATGGAACCTGCTTTCTGTGGCGCAAAACTACTAACAAAAGCATGAACTTCGCTCCCTGTGTCAACTTCACTCGAAGAATTGTCCCCAATAACTGTATTGATAGATGAAGTTTCAAGCACCAAAAAAGATGAACCAACCTCCTCGGCCACCCTCTTGGCAGCCAAGATATGCCCGTGAAAACCCGTCCCAAATATTTCTCTCAAAACCAAGCTTCCAGCCAAATCTTCATACTTTTCCTTGTTAATCTTATTTAAAAAGCATCTTTTAATCACTCCAAATGACGAAGTGGGAACTAGATCATCAGCAATATTTCCCAATTCACTCTCTTCAGATTGAATTTGAACCAATGGCGAATGACCCACCTGAGCCACAACAGCATCAGGTCGAATCTTTCTTATAAGGCACTCAACATCGACAGCTGACCTCTCAGATAAATTCTGAGCACAAAGTATATAAATCACAGATTGACATTTTGGATCTCGAACTGCAAAAACGAAACTTTTCGTGTTTTCTGGTATAGAAAGCTTCCTGACTATTCTGTCAGATGCCTTCAAATCATCAGCTTTCAATATTGACAATGGCCAAACATTTTGTAGGCTATAGATAAATTCAAGTGCCATTACATTAGCAAGAAACCTCTTTTGTTCTCTACGAAGATTCTCAATCTAAGCACCACAATCATCTAAAACAGACAGTAGCTTCAACAAAATTTTCCAAAATAAGAACCCATTTCAATTTAGGCCTCTAACATCAAGAAAGTCAAATCCCTTTTCTATTATTCCTATCTTCTCCCACGTTTTCCCAGAAACCAAAACAAGGGAAAAGAGGAAGAACATGGTTTCTTTAAGTTCACATCACTAAAGCCCAGATAAACATATAGCAAGAATCTCAGCGATGTACCTTTTGTTTGGAGTGGAAATCCTATTAGAGAATGATGGGAATTGATTAATTTTCCCGAGAAAGTGAGAGAAACTCTTCAAGGACAAACAATCAAAAGAGAGAAGTCTAGCTAGAGAGTTGTAAAGTGGGATTCTAGCACAGAGTTTAGAGTTCAAGAGGAACTCACTGGTTATATGATTTTGACTAAAACGATGCCGTGCTCTTTCTTTGGTGTTGAACTCGTAGAGATATTATAGTATGTTTGGAATTTAAAAATTATTTTTTCTTGTTTTAAATAAATGTAATTTTAAATAAAATATTATTTGAAAAGTAATTTCATAACAATTATTAACTTTGTTACCGTGTAAAATTAATAATATGTTTTTAAAAAAAATATTATAAAATATGATTGATATATTTATTCTTATATATTTTAATCATCCTTTCGTCTATCATTTAAAAAAAACAATTATATTTAACTACAATTTATACTCATAAATATCATTTTTAGGTATTTTTGTGTTATTTGTTTATACTCAAATTTAAGGAGACTGGAGAAAAAAAATATCTGAATATAAGATTGCTTATATTTTGTCTTATTGAAATAAATAAAAAGGTGTCTATATATTTAAAAAGGAATTTTTATTTTATTTTTTTATAAAATTATTTTCATTATTTAAAAAAATAATATCATAAAATTATTTTAATTATTTAAAAAAAAATAGTTTAAAATTAACTTGAAATAATCTTACCCACACATCCTCTGACCTGAGCTTTAAACGGTATCATTGAACCGTACCGGATTCAGGTGAAGCACAGCACCAAAAAGCCACGTTCATTGTTGTTTGACTTCACTTCTTCACACGCAACGCTTACATGTGATTGGCCTGTCACCCCCATTAATGTCGTTTTCCATTAGCCAGCACCCAGTCACCAACAACTACAGCCCGCGGAAACAAAATGAAAATATATAAATAAATAATTTAAAATAAATAAATTTAACTTCTTTGTTCAAACACTTTCGAATGGAAAAAACAATGAAGAAGGATAATAATAATAATAATAATAATAATAATGAAGTGAATGCATATTCTTCGCATCTCTTCGAAAATTCTCAAACTTCTTGTAAGTTTCTTTCTCAGGGTTTTTTTGTGTGACGAGAGAATTGAATTGGATTCCGGCTAAGCTGTGGATCTGATCGGAGATTTCACCGTCGGCGGTGGCTGATTTTGGCTAACCAACTGTTAAGACTGTGATTTAGGTGAGATTAACGTGATAATTTTCGTTGCTTTTATTATTAAAGTGTTATACTTTATAGCTCTTATAAATGAAATGCTTTAACTTTTTAAGCTTCTTTACACAGAGAGAATTCGATATCCCAATTTTGTCTGTGGAATTGGATTTGAATTCAATTCAATTCCGGTGGAGCTGTGGATCTGATTTTAGCAAATGAATTGTTGATAGTGTGATTTTGGTGAGATAAAGGTAATTATTTGGACTGATTTTGTTTTTGTTTAGTTAATAAAATTTTATTTTTTGGATTTATTTTTTTTATTAATGTAAATATTTGGTAAATTTTCGCACATCTTAATTAATTCTATAAATTTTAAAATTAATAATTATATAAATTTTCAGTAATTTTAACAAGTCATTTATAAAAAATAAATTTAAAATCTAATCAATTAAACTACACCTTTAATATTACTGCATCCGGTGATCCTCAATGTAGTGTTTGGATCTCATTTGGATTCTGTTTATTTTAGTAAAGTTAGTTGCTTTTTTATAATTTCTTGGATCAGAAAGAATTTAAGCTATCAATGCATGTATTGTTAAAACAATTTCACTAAAATGAGGTGTCAAGAATTAAGATTTGAACATAATTTGTACAAGAATTAGAATTAGATAATGATTGAGAATACTGTTTAAGTTAATAAATTTGATTAATCTCCTAACGAAACAGAGAGGATTTTAATTTCTTTAGCTTATATCCTTCACTTAGATAAGTTTAGGTGACAAGAGTTAAACCTTTAATTACCAATGGATGTAATACTTAATAAGCATTACTTTTCAGCATTAACTATTTTTCCCTCTTTTCTGTGTAGATTTGATTTTGTGAAGAGCGTGGAAGTGTGAGGAGGGAGGAGGGAGCCAATGAAGAACGGGGCATTAGAATGCAGTGTGTGCCATTCGAAATTGGTTTCTCCAAATTCTAGAACATATTCGAAGGCTTATGATCGACATAAGATCAGGGTTTCATCAAAGCAGCGTGCCCTTAATGTACTTTTGGTCGCTGGTGACTGTGTCCTAGTCGGTTTGCAGGTGATTAGTTGCATTCATGATTCTTTTCTTTTACTATGAGTTCATTTGCTTATTGGAAATTGGGATGGGTAAGCTATCTTATAGATCTGTTTGTTAATTTCTATGTTGAACTTTTGAATCATGCCCTGCTAATTGACCAAGTGAATATCAGTGCCTCAGTTGTTGCTGTAGTTCATTCAAATATCAGTCTGTGGCGGTTTATCTTCGTGTTTCTTGGATTCCTTAAAATGTTTGGTTTTCTTCCTTTTTTACAGCCAATTTTGGTTTATATGTCCAAGGTGGATGGGAAGTTCGGATTTAGCCCGCTTAGTGTTAACTTCTTAACTGAGGCTGCAAAGGTTCTGTTTGCAATTGTTATGCTTTTGTTCCAGGTACGTTTTATGATTTCTTCTAGTCATTTAAATATATGCCTCCATTTTTTTTTCTTTATAATTCTACCATGGGCCAATATAAAACAAATGGACATTACTTGGTGTAGTAGTAATGGTTTTATGCTTGCAACATCAAGCGTTCAGGTTGAGTGCTGAGATATCACTATATATACCTGAAATAGCCAAAGAGGGGATTTTCTCCAATTGTCTCTTGTAGGACATTATGTTGGAGCTTCAACTGGGTATTGACATGTAAATCAATTTCCAGAAGTGGCACTGAGGGAAATAAGGAGAGATCTTGACTGAGATGATCTATACACTATAGTTATTTTTTCTCGTTTTTGTTTTTATCCTTGTGTGTTTGCCCTTTTCTCATAGCTTTTCATTCAATGCTAATGTTTTCATGAAAGCTAGAGAAGACACTCATGAACAATCGATTCTTGTTATGCATCCTGTGAATTTTCATTTTCTTGCTTGTGTTGTAAGGTTTTAGTTAATTCTGCAGGCGAGGCATCAGAAAGTGGGAGAGAAGCCCCTTCTATCAATTTCCACGTTTGTACAGGTATTTTTTCTCCAGAGGGATTGCTCATTAGAAAAAAGATTATGAATTGTTATGTTTGACAGCCTTTGAATCTGGCAATGCATTATCTTTTTTTGCAGGCAGCTCGTAACAATGTTCTTCTTGCTGTTCCAGCGCTTCTTTATGCTATCAATAACTATCTAAAGTTCATCATGCAGGTATGGTTCTTTTGGAAGCTTTTCCAATCTATACTGTCCACATTTAGTATATTATATTTCATTTTGCTACCACACGTGTCAGTGGCAACTAATGAGTTTTGCTACCACACGTGTCAGTGGCAACTACTGAGATGCATTTGCTTATAGAGTTAAATGGGCAACGCAGCCAGCCTTCACCAACCACAGGAAATATACAGGAGAGCTAAATAAGTTGCTGATTGGAATGGGGAGGGCCTTAAGAAAACCTGTTGTGTGTTTGGGCTGTGGTTGGGTCTAGCAGACCCCATCTTTGGTATATTTGCTCAATGCAGGTTGTGTTATAGGCATCAAAAACATGTGGATTCTAGGAAATTATACAGGGTTTAGATTTTTCGGGGACACCATCCTAACCCAATTGTAAGATGGATTCTATGGCACTAATTATCTAATATGATGGATTCCGTGGAAATTTTATTACCGAAAGGACCAGAGAACTTTGTGCAGCACTGTTTTGCTCTTCTTTCTGAAAGGCTAAATGTCCTAGTTGCTTACTCTAGGGAATGAAAGTAAATAAACTATCAAAATGATAAAGAAAATCCACAACTTTCAATCTGGTTAAGTTGATAGAAGAATTTGTCCATCAGAATAACTATTGCAAAGGCTAAACTTTTGCCTTCAATTACAAAAATTCATCCACTCGCTTCCTATAAATTGCTTGTGATGATTTTATAACAAACTTGCCACAAATGTACCCATTTGAGGTAAGTCTAGCTACTCCTTATCTGCCTAGGAGTGCATCCAGCTTCTATGTGATGGCTTTGAGGGGCATCAGAGGAACTATGAATCTGGGGAACTGTGAACTGTGGGGCTCACACACACAAGATTAGCTCAGAAACTTTGCTAAAATTAGATTGGCATGATATTTAATTTTTATTTAAGATTTTTCAGACTTAGAATGAAGCAGTATTTTGGATTCTTATACACCCCTTAGCTTGTAATTTATTCTTTATTTTGCAGTTATATTTCAATCCTGCAACTGTGAAGATGCTGAGTAATTTGAAGGTATTATATGATGCATATTGCTGATCATTTGAGCAAAGTTATATTCCATGTTAGCTTCATGCTTTTTTCCCTGGTAGGCACTGATGCTCCCCTCCCAGCTCTGGTAGACTTGTAATAATTTTTTCAGTTTCCACAATCCAATAAGCTTCGTGAATTTAAATATTCATCGAGGGCCAAAAACTACAGTTAAAATGCTTCGAAGCCATTCAACATTTAAATGACAAATCAACTTTTTTGAGTGCTATATGCAAAATCTTAAACTTCTAATATATATAATGTTTTCTTATAGCGGCTTTTATATGATTGTGAGCAGCTTCCTGTATTGGATTCTCAGTATTGGACCCACACTTTCAACTGGAACAGCATGCACCATAAAAACATATTTGAAGATTGAAGTAGAAGACATTGATAAATTAGCAAAACTGAAACGAAGGATTTTCATATCACAGAAATGATTTTACTTGGATGCCAAATTAATGAAATTGTTGAACTTAATCATATGTGATTCTTTTGACCTAGGGCTTAGATGAAGTGTACTAAGAACTTCATTTGTGGATAAACTATGCCTAAATATGCTGAACTGGGATACTTTCTCACTTTTTACCAGAGAATTCTATATATAGAAATGTTTATTTTATTTTTCTATTGGAATACAAGTCTTTCATGTTATAGATCATGAACTTCTACTCCTGTTAAAGTTTGTTTATTGCTGTGAACTTGCAGGTTTTGGTAATTGCTGTTTTACTGAAGATCGTAATGAGACGCTGGTTTTCTGTAATTCAGGTTATTCCATGTTCTAAGTTAAAGATGACTGTGTTTAGCCTGTTTTGGTAGGAGAGTTTTTTTTATTTCATCTAGGTCCACTTGTGACCGCTTTTCAGTGACATTCTGTTACATGGTGAATAGAGGACTGACTTGTGGGTCTCTTAACAGTGGGAAGCTCTTGCTTTGTTGCTCATTGGAATAAGTGTAAATCAGTTGCGCTCTTTACCTGAAGGTACCACCGCTATGGGCCTTCCAGTTGCAATGGGTGCATGCATCTACACACTGATCTTTGTAAGCGAATTCAAGTATTCTTTGCTAAGGATAGTAATTACTGTTTGTTCAATGAGATGAAGAGCTGGCTATGCAAGCAGTTTCTGTTAAAAGTAGTCATCTCATCTCTATGTAAAAATCTTGTTACATTTATCTTTTTCTGTTGGGAGGCTGAGTTTTTCAAATAAAAATCTTGTTACATTTATCTTTTTCTGCATGCAGGAGGCTGAGGTTTTTCAATTTTTTTACAGGTGACTGTTCCATCTATGGCCTCTGTCTTTAATGAATATGCTCTGAAGAGTCAATACGACACAAGCATATACCTACAGGTAATATGTCATGGTTAAGGAATTTGGTTTTTATGTTGACCATCATAAAGTATCGCAGTTTTAGGAGTGTCATGTTATTTATGGTTTCAGTTGAGATGACCATCGAATGGTTTATTCTGACAGATTTTATGTAGATTCCTATATGAAGTATAATATGTTTCTATCTTTAATCTAGGGAGGACTCCCCTAGAAGGTGTCAAGCACATACTCTTGACTTCAAGTGACTTCCAGTAGGCAGTGCAGGACTTTGTTTTCCAATGGTTTAGTCTATCTGCTTCTGCCCTGAGCTGAAGCTGCGTTATGAATTTCAAGATTGATATTTGAATTCTTAAGGAGTTAAATTTCAGCAAGTTATCCTGACCTTGACTCAATGTTTTTGTTTCCAGAATTTATTTTTATGTGGGTATGGTGCTATATTCAACTTTTTAGCAATAGTGGGAACTGCCATGGTCAAAGGTATGGAAGGGATCTATTACTTAATTTTAATTTTACAAGGAAGTTATGATTACATTGCGAGCAATGCTTGAGTTCTGATATGAGGTGTTTGAAGGTTATGCCATTAATGAGTTTGTTTTTCATTGATTTATTTTGTACTAGGCTTCTACTCCTTGATCTAATTTTACTTGTGACATTGAAGAATAAGTCTTAAGATGGGTTTTTCATTTGTGAGTATTTGGAACATAATAGCTGCAGGGAAGATGTAATTTGTTTGCTGTGGAAGAGTTAGTTCTCACTTCACATGAGTTATCCATTGAAAAACCTTAAATAAAATTTCACAGTGGTACAACCCTTTTTTTTTTTTGCTTCAAAACATCCAAATATGTCCTCTTCTGCCACATCGGTGGTGCATTTGCAGCTCAAACCATTACCTTGACTTAAATCCTTGATGATTAAGAGAAGATATAACTTGTGCATGAGGACCTGAAGATTAGGCTGCTTCAGTTTTTACTTAGGTATTCATGCTGATAAGGTGTTGGAATGATTTGATGAAATGCTAATATGATGGCGTCCTGTAACTTGTTTAGAAGTTTCAACATTTCTCCATGATCCTTTAATTGAATTGTTACTTGAAAGAGTAATGCATAACATTTTCTAGCAGTGATATCTTCTTGAAACGTTCAACTGCCCATTGCCTATGATTTTGTTAGTTTTGTTCCATGGGATTCTTATGCAAACTTATAGCTATGTCCCTGACATTTACCTATTCAATGTTTCAGGACCCGGTAGCTTTAACATCCTGGAAGGACATTCAAAAGCTACCATGCTTCTAATATTTAACAATGCTGCCCAAGGAATTTTGTCCTCATTTTTCTTCAAATATGCAGGTTCTTCTCACCTCTAATGTCCATTTGCATAAAACAGTTTCTATGTTTACATTTCCTAAGTTTATATTTGGAGTTTTATTTTATGCATATGCACTTCTGTGAGTTATGGCATAAAAATATTATTTGAAACACATGGATTAGTGACATCATTTTGATCATTTCAGATACAATTCTGAAGAAGTACTCTTCAACGGTCGCAACTATCTTCACAGGCATTGCATCTGCTGCATTGTTTGGTCATACTTTGACCATAAACTTTATCTTAGGAATCTCTATTGTGTTCATCTCTATGCACCAGGTGATTTATAAAGAGTTAGCTAAGGAAATTTTATGGATTATACTAAAGTTTTTTTTTTTTTCTTGAACTGAACATATTATTTTCTTTGGCTTCATTTGTCATCCAGTTTTTCTGACCACTTGCAAAAGTCAAAGATGACAGAAGAATGGAATGACGGAACTAAGGGATGTTCCTGAGAGACTCAAGTAGGCGCTCTCTCTCATACACACACAGAGACACACATTTCAAGTGTCCATATTATAAGAAATGACACTGGAATAAGTTCAGTTGTTTTTCCAGCAATTTGAAAAAAAATGCCAAGCAGTTCTAACTTGGATACTCATACATCTCTAAGGAACCTGATTTAGCTGTTTAATACATTGGATTTGTTTTTATTCTCGGATAAGGCTGGAAAAGAGTTGAGAGAAAAATACTTCTGATTTAATTTATCTTCTCCATGGCAGTAACGAAGTATATTATATGTTATTAATGTTCAGGTCAAAAGATTCATTCCTAGATTTGGCAGCAGCAGCAAATGAAGAGGTGTGTAAATTCAGACTCCATATTTCAGACAGCACTGAGTGTTCTCAAACTAACTACATGTTTGCTCTGTCCAGACTATTCATCGTGTAGGACATGATGAAAGACAGCCTCTACTCCCCAGCTAAAGTTTCACAGAATATTTTTTACATTAGAGAGGTGCAACTACTGTGAAGATATTGACATTTCTTAAAATCTTATCCGCTAGATATTAAAGGTGCGCTGCAGTGATCTTTGCTTTTCAGGAATTCTTTTAGCAGGACTTGTTGGACCGAACAGAAGATAAGTCTATTGTAAGAATCGGAAAATAAATTCAAAATGGAAGAGTTGTTTTACACATTTGAGAATCATTTCCTGCTTCTTTCGCCCCCCTCCAGTAGGTGTGGTGCCTTTCAAACGTGCAGATGCCCGAGTCATCTAGGTTTTACCTTCCTGAGGCTTGACAAAGATTAGCAACATGGGTTGTCGGGTACCTGGTTTCCGATGTCTTGTCTGCCTCTTGAACACTAATAGGTGGTTTTTTTTGTTGTTTACCTTAGCACAGTAGAGATATTGTTTTCCTAACTAAAGAATAAAAAGGGAGACAGTTTAATGGAATAACTTCACACACTTTTTCATTTACATTATACATGTATAAATACAGAATGGAGGATTCTGTAGGAGCTTATTAAGCCTGAACTTTTGCTATTCTGTAACTAACTGCAAGCTGTACATAATTCAATTTAAGCATAAGGATTTGATTATGGTGAGTGAGGATTTTATGGAGAAACTGATGCTGTTGAATGAGTGATTTGTGGGAGAGTGATTGCTTTCCTTATATGCCCCCGCAAGATGGAGGTACCATCAGTAACTCCAATCTTGGATCTTAAGACTTGAAAGCGGTTACGTGGAAGAGGCTTTGTAAGCAAGTCTGCAAGCTGATCTAAAGTGTGAACATGACTAACAGTAATGCGACCTTTCTGAACAAGATCACGAACAAAAAGAAGATCAATGTCGATGTGTTTCATTCGAGTGTGTTGCACTGGATTTAGGCTTAAATGAGTTGCACCAATGTTATCGCAGAAAACCTGAGGAGGATTTTTAAGATGTAAACCAAGTTCGGTGATTAAGGATTGAAGCCAGACTGTTTCAGAAGTTGCAGCTGCTAAAGCACGAAATTCAGCTTTTGTAGAAGAACACGATACAGCTCTTTGTTTGCGTGCAGACCAAGAAATGGGATTAAAGCCTAGAAAAGTGATAAAAGCAATGGTGGAGATCCTTGTGTCAGTGTTAGTAGCCCAGTCCGCATCAACAAAAGTTTGGAGACTTAAAAGGCTACTCCGTTGAATAAGAATCCCATGAAACATTGTATGCTTGAGATACCTGAGAATTCGTTTTGCTGCAGTCCAGTGACACTCTGTTGGTTTGTGCATAAACTGGGAAAGGCGATTTACTGCAAATGCAATGTCGGGTAGTGACGCTAGTGATTATGTCGTAGGTGTTGTTTTGGGACAAAGAAAAGATAAGAAACCTTATGTGAT